TGAGAATACCAGCTTCTCTCATTCATTTGCATGTAATGATAACAACGTCAGCAAACCCTATCCAATGAAGTCATAATGAATGATTATTATATATATATACACACACATGAAGTCACATGAACATTACACACACACACACACACACACACACACACACACACACACATATATATATATATATATATATATATATATATATATATATATATATATATATATATATAATCCAAAGGAAAAAAAAACAAGCGAGTAATAAAACATAGGAGGTTGTATACTACGAGAACTCAAGGTTGATCACTGAGAGGCAAAAGATGTAGTACATTTTTTGCGAGGTTCCTACAGTAAGGAAGTGGCTGGAAATTGGATAAAGGAATGCTTACGGATGGTCTATAAGATCTATCAGGGACCAACAGTCATTGTCATTGACACTATGCCACTCCAAAATTGAGAGAGTTTTACTCTATCCAGAATTTGCGCACATGAATTTTCTCCAAATGGCACAGCACAGCCTTATGTTTAATGCGATAGAACACGTTTGGTCGCTTATAATAGCATCCATCAAAAGAAAATTGACTGAAAATATGGGTGAGATATTCAATGCATGAATTCCATAAGGTACAAGGAAAAAAATTAGAAGGCATCAATGAAGACTACTTAAAGGAAATAAAGTCAATACTATACAATCGAATCATAACAAAGAATATTTGCATCACTCTGAAATTTTTAAGATGCCGAGTCTTAAACTTGTACGGTTATATCAAGAAAAAGTATTGTGTTAAATTTGTTTTTTTGGTTGGGGGTTCTTTTGTTTTTGTTTTTTTTTTTTTCTCATTTTGCGTTTGGATTTCTCATTCTGAAATTGGGTTTGCTCATTTTGAGTTTAGGATTTCTCATTTTGAGATTGGGGTTTCTCATTTTGAGTTTAGGATTTTTCATTTTGAGATTGGGGTTTCTCATTTTGAGATTGGGGTTTCTCATTTTGAGTTTAATATTTCTTATTTTGAGTTTGGGATTTTCCATTTTAAGTTTGGGATTTCTCATTTTGACATTGGAGTTTCTCATTTTGAGTTTAGTATTTCTCATTTTGAGATTAGGATTTTCCATTTTAAGTTTGGGATTTCTCATTTTGAGATTGGGATTTCTCATTTTGAGATTGGGATTTCTCATTTTGAGTTTGGAAATTTTCATTTTGAACATATTATGGTGTAAATTGGCGCCAAGGTCCCATCATTGTAGGGTTGAAATAGCTCGATGTAAGTGTAAGTTTCTTCTATCGCACATTGCTCTTGTTGAACTCTCTTCCGCCTTCTTGCTTCCAACTCAACTTTGATCTTCAACAATTTAAATGCAGTATTAGTCGTTATCTAATGCCTTTTTAATTCTTGTTCTTTTTTTTTTTGCTCCTTAATATTATTTTTTCTCTCACACTCAGTAACCTCTTGCTTCTTATTGGGTTTACTGCCTTACATGAGGAGAAACGATAAAAAAAAACAGTTTATTTAGCAACAGTTAGAGTTAATTACTACTATATTTTTCAATGTAACCAGAGGCGGCAGAGACGACCATCTCAAGGCGGGCACGAAATGAGTCACACGCTTTGGTGACCATGTCCTTGAATATAACGGCGAACGCCTCCAAGATGGCAGCCTTCAGATAATCGCTGGAGATGACACCAAGTACCATGATGGAGGAGGGAAACTTTGTATGCTTTACGACGGGAATCTCGTCAATGTCTTTGCAGATCCATCTGTAGTTCATCTGGTCCTGCATGGAATTCTTTTCATCATAGAAGAACCTCAGCATCCCGGCGGACCCGTATTTGAGCTCGTTCAGCAAAGACGCCGTCTTGACTACTTGGAGGCATTCTTGATGAGCATGCGGTGACACTTGCGGTAGGAGGAGTAATCAATGTCCTTCTTGATCGTTCGGCAGATCGTCGACTTATGACAGCCCATGTCAGCGGCGATCTTGGCGTAGCTCTGGCTTCCATCATTGTCGAGTGTCTCCTTGACGGCGGCGACGAACTCGTCGTTCCAAACGGACGAACGTTGTGGGCCTTTAGTTTGGCAGTAAAATCGTCCTTGTTCTCACACACCTATCACTTCCTCTAAGTGTCCATGACCATGGTCCTCTTGAAACCAAAGCTTCCGTAGATTTTTTACCGACGCGAAAAGAAACTACTGCGCTCATATTCCATCCTGGAAAAGGGTAGAGAGAAAAACCTTAGTTATTTGTCAAATTGTCGGTTATCTGCATATACGCCTTTTGTTTTTATTGTCTACTTCGTTTTCTTTTTGTCAAGTGTCGGATTTTGCTGCAATGTCCTGTGTAATATAAATACTAAGCATCTCCACGTGGTGTAACGTTTAGCAATCTTTTCTCGTTAGAATAATTAAAACTGAGCAGTGAGTTCTATCGTTACGGGGTAACCCATACTTCCGCTGTGTTCCACATCAAAGCCACGTTTAGAAAATCGCCATATAATATAAATACTGAGAATTAATATTTTTCGTGCTGAAATCATTACCGTCTACTGGATTTAAAATGTAATTCGCTCAGGTTCGATCGCTGATTTCTTTCTCTCACTGTTATTTCTATACTGCACTGTGATACTAATATATTTGGGATGTCGGTTTATAATTGTAAATGAACCCTGTTTAACCATAGGGATTTGATAAAAGATTTATTATTACCGTTACGAGTGTTCACACTAAAACTCCGTAAAGCGTCAAGAATAAAAAAAAAAATAAATAAATAAAATAAAATTTAAAGAAAAAAAAAAAAGTGAAAAATCATCGGAATTGGATAAATTCAAATCCCATAAAACCGGGACACTGTAGCCAGAACATCACAGAATGATCCTTATTAGCTCTATCTAATATTATTTACATTATTCGGACTACTGTCCTCATCTTTGTCGCCATATTTATCCCAACGTTTCGGCCGTTGTACGCTCCGGGCTTCTTCAGGTGGTTGGAATGTCGAACTGAACCCTTTATTTCGCTCACTGGGGTAGACTGTTCTAGTTCCACGTGCGATGTCTAATGGATGTCTGTTATCAGTTACCTCCTGTTAATTTTCCCTCTGAAAGTTCTCCACTGCCTTAACCGGGTATTGAACTCACACATTACAACATTTTTTCTAATATCAATGATTGAAATGTTTTAATGTGAATGAGTCCTGCAGATTTCGTTTTTGTTTTTTTTCTTACAGTGCGGTTCACTCTGTACAAGGCCCTGGAGCCAGTCGAGGCAGAGTGTTACAGTGTAAAAGGCACAGTTTATGCGAATAGGTAGATCACGTTTAACCTTAGACATGAACAAGTTAAGATTGTAGCGATCGGGAAAACATCCTCTTGGGAGTCGGGTCCACAGAGTAGTGGTTTACTGGAAGAAGGTGATCGTGTGGAACATATTTTCGCCAATGGAATGCACAGGGAATGTGGGTGGTTCGCTATCATGGGCGTGGCATGAAGGGTCCTAGCCGTAAAGTTTAGAACTGGTGGAATTAAGGAATAGAGTCCGTCTTAGCACTAGGCATGGAAGTAGCGATTGAGAAGTGATCAGTTCTTGAACGTTTTTGACTAACGCACCATTTCCCCCATATATCTCTAAATGTCATTCCCACCCGCCTTTTCCAGTATTGTCAAATAATGCATTCCAAATAATATGCGTATATTATTGAATAATTTTTTTTTTCATATTAGTGCATACACATTTACAAGGGTTATTTTTTATAGGAGGGAGGAGGTTTTTTGTTTTTTTTTTACACTCATGATACGCTAAAAAACTATAAATAAAACCACCAATGATAAAATATTTTCCACTCTGTGGTAAGACAAGCCGATTACCTCCCCTGTCTTATGATTTGTATAAATAAGTTAAGCCATCTTAGCCAAACAGCAAGACTCTTCAGTTACGTTCAATAAAGGCACATTAAACCGAACTTGATTCCGATTGTTCATTACACCCACCTCCCACCTGAAATTCCTCCTAGAACAGAGTTTCAACTAGTTTGTAAACTTCAGCTTTAGGTCTTAAAGAAAACAATCCTAATCCTTCATCGGGTTTTATAGACTGATTTACAAAATTGCAAAGAAAAAACTTTACCAAATATCAAAACCTATTTCTTGACGAATTCTAACATATGCACAGACAAGAGAAAGTAATGATATAATCAATTTTTGGACTTTCCAAACTACATTAAAGGAAAAGATGGAAAGGAAACTCCCATAAAACAAGTTTCATGAAGAAAAAAAAACTGTTTTCCGGAGAAAGGTTTTTTGGTCAATGAATTCCTTCTGCTTCCTGTATGGAAACAGTTCAGTTTATCATCTCCATTACCATTTTTGGCTTAATGCTACACATGTACGCGAACCTGTTAAGATCTTGATCAATAAACGACAAACTAGTCGCTCTGCCTAGCTTACTATGTATCAGACTATTTTAAACAACTGGACAATCTTGGCACAGATATAATTGGATAACAAAGACCAAAAAAACTTTAAGAAAAGGAGAATGATTGTAAAAAAAGAAAAAATGTTGATAGTTAAAAAAAAAGATAATTTTGAAAAAGAGAAAAGGAAAGATACATTTGTTAAGAATTAAATATAATGAGGCAATATCTATCAATGAAAAAATATTTAAAAGATGTGGGTGTTAACTACTTTTCTTGTAAAATCCCGTTTCCCGCCAAAACAAAACAAAAAAAAAAATGGACGAATACGTGTTCAGATCATCACATTTGACAGGTGGCCTGGAATTTGAAGGGTTTTTTTTTTCCCGAGATTCTTGCTGAAGCACTTGGGTTTTATGGAGGCAGGATATGACGATGTGCCATCATCTTTGACCAATTAGCTGGAGGATTTTTTTTTTCATAAAGACAAGGGGGAAAATGGCCCTTGAAGGGATAAATTAAGAGGTTGGTTCATTGGAAGTAATGGCAGTGAGTATAATTGCAATGAAATTGGGGAAAGGATCACATTCTACGGATTGGGAGCG